AGGTTCTGGAGTGGCCTAGCCAGTCTCCAGACCTCAATCCAATAGAACATCTTTGGAGGGAGCTTAAACTCCGCGTTGCTCAGCGACAGCCCCGAAACCTGACAGATCTAGAGGAGATCTGTGTGGAGGAGTGGGCCAAAATCCCTGTTGCAGTGTGTGCAAACCTGGTCAAGAACTACAGGAAATGTTTGACCTCTGTAATTGCAAACAAAGGTTTCTGTACCAAATATTAACACTGATTTTCTCAGGTGTTCAAATACTTATGTTCAGCAGTGCAAGACAAATTCTTTAAAAATCATACAATGTGATTTCCTGAATTTTTTTTTAATTCTGTCTCTCACAGTGGGAATGCACCTACAATGTGAATTTCAGACCCCTCTATGATTTCGAAGTGGGAGAACTTGCAAAATCGCAGGGTGTTCAAATACTTCTGTTCCTCACTGTACATAATGAAAGTGTAGAAATGGTTCAATCACACAAATACTTGGGAACTTATTTTGATGACCAGCTTAAATTCAATATTAACACAAGTGGTACTGTAGCGTGGTGACAGCAGAGAATTCAACTTTTATATAAACTCAGTCCATTTTCTGTCAGTCTGATTATCCTTTGTCTTTTTTTACAAGTGTTTTATTGAGAGTCTTTTCTTTTGACAGAGAAACAGCCTGAACAATACTGCTCAAAGAATATTGCTGTGAACCAGAGGGATTTGTGCTCCTTTTGTAACAAACAAATCCTCCGGAAGGCAACAGGTATTGTGGCTGCATCTGAACACACCTCAGCAGGTGAATTTTCTTGCCATTCAGGTCTTCGTAATGTTTTACCCTTTTGTAAAACTAATCATCACTCCAAATTGTTTATCCCCACTGCAATTTATCTACTAAACACTGTAGGACTATGTAAAGTATTGCTGGTGGATGTGACTTTTAGATTTTATTTGATTTATTCAACTTTTTTGGAGAGGGGGTCTGTCTATTGTATGGTATTTTATTGTATAACAAGCTGCACCAGACAAATTGTCCCTAGGGGGATTAATAAAGTTGTTTGAATTTAAATAAATGACGGAAAATATTTAAAAAAAAAACTGCAGCATGTGTTCCACAGGAATCTAGTAACAAAGCAACCAGACAAGCATGACTGACCGAGGTCCTAATATAATTTTAGTCTGCTAATCTCTGTAGTACATTACAGTTTGGAAAGAAGTCTCACAACAAAGCAGGTACTTCCCACCGTACTATAATCCCACAGCAGAGATGTGGATGGATTGGTCTTTGGCTTGTCTTCATTAGTTACAGCAGAATGAACCGACACTGGGCCTGCTCACACTATAATGACACCTGAATGAGGACAATGCTTACATTTAAAAGCAGCACTGTCTAATCTCCATTTTTACTGGACTGTATGACCATGTACAGCTCCCAGACAAAAAAATAATAATAATAATAATCAAGAACACAATGTACTTTCAGAAGAAAAGCCCACTAGTCTGTCAGGCCTTCAACATTCAGCCCAAAGTTGATTAAACTATTATTTCCAGATTCCACAAACCTGAAACAATAGCAGAAAAATCTATGGCCTGGTGGAGAACACTGAGTTGTGTTATCGGCCCTGAGCTGTTACACCGATGAAGTGCAGATATGGGTATATTACTTTCTACAGCGATTTACTGTGTACTGGAATAAAAAGTAAATTAGCTCCAACTTTTAATGCAATGGTATCTTAAAGCAGAAACCCCCACCACAAAGGACTCTGTTCTCCCTGCCCCCCCTCCATAGCAACACCCAAATACACCACAACTAAGATGTCAACTTGTAGTTCACCAAACTCTGTATGGTTTGTTGGAGCTTTTACAGTTTAATTTGTGATTTTATGTGCTGATAATCTTTCCTGGTTTCAAGTTTCATCTCAGAGAATCTAGTAGTTTTATTGACATTGCAGTGAGTTGTTCGGATGCCTGTATTGTGTAAGGTAATAAAATAGTATATAGGAAGTTAAAAAGGGGGGAGATTGAATGAAAGCCCCTTCAGCTGCTGACATTGACCTTTAACCCTGTAAACTTATCAGTCCATCGGCATACTGAAACTGGTCACTGTTTTCATACTCCAGCATATCCAGAGCAACCTCACAGCTCTCTTTAACGACACGTTCTCGGTCTCCACAATAAAGGTGCAGCACAGCTAGACACTCCTCCCTGCCGATAGAGCCAAGAGCCTCTGCCGCTTCATGTCGGACCATGGGGTTCTCACTGGCACACTCCAGGGCAGCACACAGGGCTGGGACCGCTGCTGGGTGTTGCATCTGACCCAAAACGTAGCCGATCTCATGGCGAAACAGAGCGCTGGAGCACTGCAGGCCTGGAAACAAAGATTTCACAAGAGATTTATACAGTGGACAAACAATATTGTTATCATTACCAGGCTCGTTGACAGAAGCAGTGAAACAGGGTGCATGTATGACAAAACTTCCATTCCAGTGGACTCACAGATTCACTTCCTAGGACATTTTCAGAGTACACTTAGCTCAGATTTCGCATGTAGGCAAACTGGGCTTCACACATTGAATGTGAATTAATTATCGGATTACAATATAAAAATCATCTCCCTTAAATGATCAAAACTAAGATAAGATTCATAGCTGAGATGGCATGCAAATGAATGAACAGATCACAATGGTCAACAATGGCCAAGAGGTAAGTAAAATAAAGCAGTGGATACCTCCAGTCTTGATGTGGTTAGTGTTATTGTAATACTCATTGGGTTTCTAAATTGAACTTGTCTTGGACTCTCTTGGAATAATGCCAAAAGTCATTAATTCATCAGTGCCCCAGCATTCATTTGTGTACACAGGGTTTATATTAGAGATGTCTCGATCGCACCTAGGTATCACGTCCATGTATGTGTTTGTTATTTTTCCTCGTTTTCTTGGTCTTCTGCAATCCATCCCAGATTACCCTCACCAAAGAAGAACTATGAAACATTTCTCCGATTTTTGCCAATGCAAAAGGCTGTGTGGACATTCTGGTCAGAGGGGCAGCAGCCCTCTATGGGACCTGGAGAAAACGCCAGCAAGGAAAGAGAGCGGGGGCCCTGGTTAAGTTAGGACAGAGAGGGACCCAGACGCCACTCCCATCAATCCATTTAGCGAATCTCCGCTGTCCGGCCAACAAAATGGATGTTCTCCTTTTTGTCAACTGGACAGACTGACTTCTCACGCTCTGCGCTTCACGGACACTTGGCTCAGTGATTCCATCTCAGACAGCGTAATGCAAATACACTTCCTATCCAATCTGATGGAGATTAAAAGGTCTACCAAGAGGAATGAGATAAACTGCCCAAATCCAGGGTGTGCAAAACTTTTAGAAACATATATGGATCTGTGAAAGTGATGTCCTTGGGTCAATTTTTACAGTATCATGTTTTTTTTGGCAGATGACACGTATACTTACCACTAAGACATGGTGTTTCTAACAACATACCTGCACTTTTAAACTGTCTTAATCTATTTAGTGCCGGGAGGTTTGACTCTTTTTTACCTGGTAGTACAGGTTACAATTACATTTTTGAGTTTTTAGTATCCCAGTACATGTGCCTTTATGGCCACGACAGGTCAGGTAAACAGTGAGCTGACCGATTGGTAAGTAAAGCAATTTTTTTTAATCTTCCCATTGGTATATGATTTATTTATGGGTTATGGGACTGGGGCTGGCTGCCTGTCCACTTTAGATTTTAAAATGTTACTAATCACTTTTCATATGTTCGTCCCACCATGTACTCCAGACTTGCTGACCGCTGATCAAGTGCGCTGGCTGGGATCCTCTAGCCGGTTTCAGCCCAACATTTTAAACTCCAGATTAATAACAAAAGCAGACTGGGAATTTGTGGTCAGGGCCCCAAACTTTGGCATAGCCTGCCAGAGGATCTGAGGCTCATACACACCAGAGCATGCGAGTTGCGTGTAGTGTGAGCAAGTGGGAACTTGGACAGAGCCTTGACCTTTATCTGAGGCGTATCATGTTTTAACGCTTTAATTTTAAAATGAATGTGTTTTATGTGCTGTTACTGTGTGTTTTAAAAAGTGCTGTATAAAATTTATTACACAACTTTTTTTGTGACCCAAATATTTCTGAGGACCATAATGCATAAAATAATGGGACAGTCACTTGTGTTTATATTTAAAAAAAAAAAAAAAAAACACTATAAAATGCAGTGTAAACCTCTGATAACTATACAGCGATCTCAACTCTAGGTATAAAACCAAGGTCAAAACAAAATAAGACAACAGGTTCTCAGGCCTAAAGTTAGTTTTTGTGTTACTGATGTGTTTTTCCAAGTGACTGCAGTAATACACAGAACAGTAACGCCATAGTGTTGGGTCCTACCATCTCCCAGTGCCAGCACAGCCTCCTTGCTGCCCAGGTTACGCAATGCAAACATGGCGCGGTAGCGTTCAAAGAGTGGCAGACTCTCATCCAATAAAATGAAACGCAGATCTGACACACTCTTCCTCACTGCTGGAGGGGCTGGGTCTATAGAGCAGTAGGGGTTTTTATCTGTATTTCCCTCCCCCAACTCCTTCTCTCCGCCGCTCTGCAGCCACTCCAATCGCCGAACAGCCAACTGACATGTTTCTGCAACCTGCAGGTGGTGGGAGATACGACATTTACATTGTGCTGTATGCAGTTTTGTTTGCACATTTTAGAAATGTCTTTGTTGACATGGGGACCCAAGACTGAGCCTTGTCGAATGGTAGGCTATAGTGCTACCCAAGGTGCATTGTGAACAGGTGTCTGCATCAGTTAAGCATTGTGACTTGGACCTGCCAACCAGTTCACTCCCTCTAGAGAGAGAGAGCAACTCTCCACTGCCTTGAACTACAGAGTCCCTCCATCACCACCACTCTCACATTACATCATCCTGATTGCACCTTGTTAAATTTACTTTTGCCATCTTTTGCCCCTGATTTATTCAATTTTATTGCTCCTGCTTTCCTCCCTTTATATTCTCTATATTGTCACCTTCTGTCCTCTAAATGTGCTATTTTGTGTTGCAAATTTTTTTAAAAAGAACCCGACTGAGTGGTCTAGGTATTTATTGGCATGTTATACATACTGTAAGTGTGATGCTCCTACCTCTACAACAGGATCCTGACTGTACTCCTTCAATAGGTCCAAAACCACAGGATCACCAATTGCTCCCAGAGCCTCCCCTACAGACAAGCATAGGATGAGAGTGACAGACAGGTAGATTAAGCACTGTTGCTTCTGGTTCTCATGTGGCCCAAGTATTTGTATTCTTGTTTTACTGAGTAAGTACGAATGTTATGTACAGTCGTCCCCCCCACCCCAGTGAATCTCTTTACTGGTGCAAACAGATCTGTCTTTTATGGCAAACATTTTTTATTTTCGCAGTGGTGTGGAAGTCAATATTCACAGCAACCTCCTCTTTTGCAATAATGACAAAAAATATCTGGATATTTTCTGGGATTTTGTCGATAACAATAAATAGATGATATTTTGCATCCTTCAAAAACTGAAGTATTGTACCATGTCGGTCTTATTAATAAGATATTAAACGTTGACTGGCGAAGCTGTGAAGTTGTCTTTACAGCAACCGATGTGTGCCAGTTTTTTAGTCCGTCTTTTGATTAATGTCCGTCTTTCCAAAGCACCCTGAATGCTCATGCACAGCAGTCTATCCCACTTGACTTCATGACACAGTGAATGTGAGGACGCACAAGGCGTTTGTTTTTGTAACGTGAGTGATACACTCAGTGTCGGCACACACATCATTTAAATGGCAATTAAGATATTATTGTATTGTTCAAAACCTTTATTTTGTTTCTCAAAAATAAATGTCAATGAACATGTCACTGCCATTAGATTGACAAAGTCCTTGTGTCATTGTTTATGAACAAGATAGTTAAAATGCTTAGTCATGCTGTCAGTGTAACTGTACTCTAAGGATTTTCTGATATAGAATATGGCTAAGGTTTTAATGACACTGGTTTTTCTGTATGGCATGTATCTACTTCAACAGTACAAACTTTCTCATGACAGCGTATGGGAAACTGGCTGCAAAAGATTTAATAAAAAAAAAAAAAGTAATAGAAATGTACAGAAGTATGTTCGACATATGAGAACTGGTTCAACCATTCTGCATGTAGTGGCTTCTGCAATGAACTAACGCCAAGATGTTTCAGGTGCTAAACCTATTCAACAGAGAACCGGTAGAATAGATTTTGATCAACGTGACAACTGACAATGTAGGAAGCAACAGACAACTGTACATAATCATTTACACGAATGTGATAAAGAATTTGCAGTTTGTTCAAAAGAAAGCAAATGTGTATGTTGAGCAAGTAGTTTTGTTTCTGATCCAAGAAACACACTAATGTGACAGATAAGTCAGCTGAAGTGACAATATTGTTTTTAATAAGTTATTTAATGATATAAAAGTGGTGCATTTCAGGTGACTTGACAGCTTTGAGTGGCAGCCCGATGACCACAGCTCCACCTCTGGTCACTACTGTGCAGAGTCTGGTTGCAAAATTCATCATAAAAGCAAGACAGCCAACGTAACTTTTGCATAGTGACAGGAAGTAGTGACGCATCATCCATTTTTAAACAGTCTGTGGTGCGTATGTGTGTTTGTGTGTTATGTTCAAAGAATCACAAATAAGTGCATGTATGTGTATTGATGCAACGACAAAAAGGCAGACGACTGCATGTGTGTAGTATGGTGTGGTAGGGACACTGCACAAAACCTCGGCATGTACACAAACATACTGTATGTACGTCTGCTTAGTAGGGAAGATGCAGTTCATCTCCATAATGTGTGCATGTGTCTTCACCTGCTTCATGTCTGACCATCGGTTCCTGTTGTGCATCTTTGAGAACAGCAGTCAAAGTGGGTATGGCCCGTGTGTCCTGCATCTGTCCCAGGCAGTATGCCAGCTCATGCTTCAGCAGGGCAGACTCATCAGTGAAGGCCTTACCGATCCATTCTATAGCTTCAGCACCTGACACAAGTGTTACAGCTTAAATCAGTTCATGCAGTATAAGATGTAACACAAATTTCATGTTTGACGAGGTTCATCCTAGAGACATTGTCTTGGTGGATTTCACTACACATTGTAACTGGGAACCATAGAGCTTTCATACAGTCTAAATTGTTAAACTTTTTTGATTTAGTTGGATATAAGACTGCAGTGTTTATGTATAAAGCCAGGAGCAATTTATTACCTGGTGGAATTCAAAAACTATTTAATGAAAGGGAAGGGGGATACAATTTAAGGGGTCAGTTAAATTTAAAAATTCATGCTATACGTACAACCAAAAAAAGATTTTGTATTTCCATAAGTGGGGTAAAACTATGGAATAATTTAAGTGTAGACATAAAAAATAGTAATAGAATTGACGAGTTTAAACATAAATATAAAGGTATGTGTCAATCAAGATATATGCAAGAACAGGCTCATTGATTAATTAGATGGAACATTGTGGGTGTGGTGTAAGAATGTTAATACTTTGTAATAATTCTTTAGTATATTACTTGTGTGGTGTAGAAGAGAATTATTTATGTAGAGATACTGCTTGCAAACCAATGATAAGATGATGTCATGGGGTAGGACTGGATAAGTCTGACTTCTTCCTACTCCATTCAAGCATGTACTAGGTATAAGTAAATTGATATTGGATTAGCATTTGTTGGATATGTGTAAAATTATGTGTGTTGACATATCAACTGTTTTTACATGCTTGAATGAATAAATCAAATCAAATGTTGCGTATGACAAAGTTTCAAAGCCTGTATCAAGCAGAGGTGGCGCTTCCAAAATGAAGCAGCGCTTTGAAGCTTATGTCAGGTTCCCATCTGTCACGAGGCCCTGGGTTCTCACAGAATCACATGCCTGTTTCAGTTTGAGGTTCACAGATTCAAACTGATAGAAAGACAGAGACACCTGAAACTGTTTTAGTTGGATGGACATATTTTACCTCCCAGGTTCTTCAGGGTGAATAAAGCTCTGAACCGCCGGGTCAGGTCCTGTCCAGAGTCCACCAGAACCTGTCCTACTGCTGCCACCTGCTCGGTACTGGCCATACTGTACAAAAAGACATACAGATGTATGCATTTATACCTTTTTATTTCTGTTCCCCGTTACTACTAAACCAGTTTACTTTATCTGCTTATGCTTTTAACCAGAGGTGGGACAAAGTCAATGTTTTGCAAGTCCCAATGAAGTCTTGACTACAAAGACAGAAGTCAAGTCCAAGTCCTAAACATTATGCTTCAAGTCCTAAAAAAAGGCATTGTTCTCTGCCTTTGGTCTTTTGGTTATGGAAGAAGAGAGGTGGTTGTGGAGTGTCAGGGAAATTACATTATTAAGTATGTTTTAAACTGTGTTCTAATCAATATATTAACTAGTGTTGTCACGATACCAACATTTTGGTACTTTCAGAACAGACTACAGATCACAGGGACCTGTTTTATCTTTGTTTTCAGTATTCTATGTGTTGTTATATGTTCAGCTAGGATGGCATTCCAGAATTAAAGGAGCCAGCCATAAACTCTTTCCTGCCATATATTGTGAAGATGAGCGGACAACATATTGTTTATTGCCTGTGAGGTTATCAGGGCAAAGCCTCTCAAGTTCACTTTTTCCTGTTTGAATCTTCTTTTCAACTTGATTAATGCCTGGAATGTGTCTTTAGGGAGTTCCCTTTGTACTATATATTGTGATGTTTAGACTAAGCTCATTCAGACAACTCTGTATGCCTATGCTGACTTGTCTCCTTGCTGCAAGTAAACCAATCTCTTATTGAAAGATTCCAGTGACTTCGTTGCTTCTTTGGAAATTCTTTTAACATGGAGGCAAAAAAACAAGGAGAAATCGCAGTAAAGGGGTGAAATCATAGATACGACATCGACAGGCTGAAGGGGTTCAGCTGAACCATTTTCTTCTTGTGCAATGCTCCACTGAGCTCAACAGGCAATCAGAGTAGTCTGTCTCTGTCACTGACAAGGCCCGAGTGCAGACACCGATTCATCATGTCGAATCGGCCAAAGAGCCGCCAGCAGGGACCGACTAGTGCCAATGGTGTAGGACACAATGAAAGCACAACCCCCGAAAGATGCTCACCGAAAAGTATGGACTTGCAACAGATACCTACTGCAATTGTGAACCTTCTGTGCAACACAACACAGACTAAAGCACACACGTTGCTGTATGTAGTACATCCTATAGACAGAAGACATCAGTCCCATAGACATAGAGTTATGATCTGTACCCATGACCCATGACCCATCTTGTGCATCAACAGGGTGCTGATATGACAGGTTGTTTTTTTTTTCAAAATAAAATGTAATTACATACAAATAATTGTTTGTAATGTTTAAAGACAACCTGGCTGAGGAATGTATTAAATACTGGGTGATAGCATGCATCACATGTAAAGATATTAAACTCTTGGCCCGTCGTGCACATCAGAGGGTTAATTACAGCGTGCACAGAGACATGCTACCATTAAACTGCCACCCAGCCAAGGTTTCAGCTCTGAGACGTCATCGCTGAAATAATTCTACCAAAACAGTTTGGTCCCGCTCAGTGGAAGAGCTAGCACATACAAGTTTCCCTGTTTGGCTGCCACTTGCTGTGATGTACTCTGCTATCCAATGCTAATGATCCTATCTGAGGTAAAAGCTAACACTTAGCGTCTCTAGTTAAACCTTTACCTACATATTCTTCACTGCCAAACAACACATACGCCAAAAAGTTCAACACACGATGCTAACAAAAACAACTTCGTGGCGACACATACCAACTTTCAGAAAGTGCAAGTGATATTCACCAGAGCGCTGATCCGAGGCCGGTGTTTTGTCAGATTTTGCTACCTATCAAAACGTGCTACCCACCGTTCACAAAGTGGTTAGGGTTAGGGGGATGGATCGGGGTGGGGTTAGTCAGTCCATAACTGCGCATGCGCAGAGCCTAATGCGCATGCGCAGACAGTTGGGGTATGAAGATCTGATAAGGTATGAAGAATTGGCAGAACACCGGGTCACTGCCGCCGGTACACGCGTTTCTGTCAAGTATAGTATTTAGCATGAAAGTACGGAAAAGGAAAAGGAAGAGGAGGTGGTAGTGGTCTTCTTCTTCTTCTTCTTCTTCTTCTTCTTCTTCTTCCTCTGCTACAGTTTCTGTTGTTTAATGGCGGTTTGCATGCCAGCTTAAGGCGCATTACCGCCACCTGCTGGGCTGGGACAACCCTAGAGCCAAAG